AAATCATCAGAGTAAAATGTATGGTAGTTTTAGTTCATTCTTGACATTACAAAATAGAAAATTAATTAATTGATTAATTTATTTATTGAGGTGATTTAGATGTGCCTACTACAGTGAAATGCAGAAAGACACAGCAATAACGATCTCAAAAATACAGCAAATGAAGTTTCATAAAAAGCTAAATAGTCTTTCAGGATCCATTTCTTTTTCCCTTGCGAGACCAATTCCCGAAGATGACATAATTTAATTTGTTTATCTGCTGTAAATAAATAAAGAAGTTACTCCAGCGAGCAGAGTTGCCAAGAAAGCTTAACTTTTAGCTGTGGGAAATGGTAGATGTCAGAAATACAGTATTCAGAAGGTAATCAGTGTATTATAGTGAGCAAGTTGATTGATTGTCTGCCTTTGTTTACAGTGGGGCAATGTGTTTTTCTCTGTTTGTCTGTGTTTGTGCAGGTCCCCGCCACAGACAGAAACGCGCTGAACTCTTTGTGGGGCAAGCTGGCCTCTGAGATCCTGATGCAGAACTGGGAAGGTGCCATGGAGGACCTCACCCGCCTGAGGGAGACTATCGATAACAATGTAATGCCCCGCCACTCAGAATTCAATACCACACTCAGATTCCCTTACATAGGGCCATAATATTGACCGCCTTGCGTTTCAGCACAGCACCGCCGCTGTTGCTGTTGCTCCTCTCCTCCATCTCCTCGATTCCTTCTCACCGCAAGTCACAAGTCAAGCAAAACCTTAATTGCTGTGTTATGTCGGTGCAGCTTGATTTTTAATTGGAGGAACTGAGCTGGGAAAGAAGGGTTTGGCCTGGGGAGAAGTATAAAATTAAAGTCTTTGGACATTGTAAATTTCTGTTCTGAACTTTGATTTGTACCGAGTCTGGAAGGCAGCGGAAGCCAAGTGTTGGTTTTTTTGGAGTCAGAAGTTCATCTTATGATCAAGTCACGATCAAGAGAAGTAACGTTTTAAAGGGATAGTTCACCCGCAATACAATATTTTATTATTATTTACTTGCTATTATGATATTCCATATGATTTTATGTTCGTGGAAATTAATACTTTTATTCCACCAGGATACTATTAAAAGTTACAGTAGTGGCATTTATAATGTTACAAAAGATTTCTATTGCTAATAAATGCTGTTCTTTTAAACTGTCCATTCATTAAAGAATCCTGAGAAAAAAATGTATCACAGTTTAAACAAAAATATGAAGCAGCACTACTGGATTAATGACTGCTTTGCCATTTAAGGAATAAATTACATTTCACTATATTAAAATAGAAAACAAGTTATTTTAAATTGCAACAATAGTTCACAATATTACTATTTTTACTACATTTAAAAAAAATAAAAGCAGCCTTGGTGAGCATAAGAGACTTTAATTTAATTTTATTTAATTTTATTATTTTATTTTTTGCCTAAAGCTATCATACAAATTCAAAACAGCACATGAGCCATTTGGACTGTTTTATGGTACTTTAATGGCGCGTTTAGAAACTCGAAATCTCAGTTCCCAATTATTTGTAATTTCATGAAGCACAGTCAGTTTAAAATCTCCTTGTTTTCCATAAAAAGTAACTCATATAGGTTTGGAACAACATGAGGCTTAATAAATGATGACAATCTTAATTTGGGGTTAAACTATTCTTTTAATATTATATTTAATATTATATTTTTGTTTTTTCTCTTCAGTCTGTAAGTTCTCCTCTCCAGTCTCTCCAGCAAAGGACTTGGCTGATCCACTGGTCTCTCTTCGTGTTCTTCAACCACCCCAAAGGGAGAGACAACATCATCGAGCTTTTCCTCTACCAGCCACAGTAAGCACCTTCTGCAGCTGCTCGTTTTCCATCTGGGATTTGATTTTGCTTTGGTTTGACTTGGTTGACTTTGGTTAAAAACGGATGAGGTAGGAAGAGAGCACTGGTCCAGGTTGGAAAGCCCACCGCAGTCCGCAAACAAAATTGCTGATGCTGGGCTCACCAGCCAGCCGCTCACAGACCCACGACCCCAGCGGTCTGTGCGAAAACTAGCCTGGCAGCTCTGGACAAATGCTGACAATGGCAAATGGGCTGCTTAACTCACGGTTTCAGTGTTTTAAGCTTCTTTAAGCGATGGTGTCGAGTCTGGACAAGTCTGTCGATCTTTATTCAGTCATTTTCAAAACAAATATTTACAAACGGGAAAAGATAAGTTAATGAATCACCTCTTACCTTCATTCGTATTCAGGTCTAACTGTTCCATGAGGAAGAAGAGGTTTCCTTATGAAATGCCAATATAGTTGAATATAGAATATAGTTTGTAGTTACAAATCCAAATTTCAATTTGATGGTCATAGAAACATGAAAATGTTATCAAACAACATGGCAGAAGGACTTGTGGGGTTTTTGCACGTATAGTTGCACAGAACATTGGATAACTTTTTTTTTTTGTTTTTTTCCTCATTTCACCAATTTTTACATTTAGATTACCTTTGCAAATAATAGTTAGTCAATTAGTTATTAGTTACTTAATAATTAATTCATCAAAATAATTAGTATCAAAAATGAATATCCATTAATCACACTGCATTATAACCCTAAATTCACTTGTAGCACCTTAAACAATTGGTTTTATTTTTTTAATGTTTTTTTAAATATTTTTTTATTTTTATTAACATTTCAATGTGTGTGTAAAAATTGTTTTAAATATAAAATAATAGTGATTATATTCATTTTTTGTCATGTTTATATAATCTATTAATAATAAGTATATGTAATTTAAAGTTATAAATAAATTAATATTAAAATATAAATACGAAAATAAGAGAAAGAAAAAGAAAGTGAAATGTTGTTTTTAATACAATGATAAGGACATTATATATAAGGAAAAAAATATAATAACTTCTATAAATTTATAAGAAAATATTAGAAAAAGAAAATAAAACAACTTGTTAAAAAATAATATAACTGATGCATTGAGTGCAAAGAACCTTCAAGGGTCTGCTAGCTTTTTTTAAATATTTTTTTTTTTAAGTGGGTTTACACCAGGTGCGTAAGGTAGGAAACTTGATCTATCAAATAATTCATCTGAGAATTTATTAGCCATTGGCTAATATTAGACATTTAGTCGCCCAGAGTAAGAGTGATTTACTCGCAATGTAGAGGGTTGCTACATTCCATCTATTTTAAGGCCACACTTTTCCCGATGCTCTATTGTGTATCCTAATGCCTATACACTATTCAAAGACAAAATGGAATCTGCCTCTAAGATGTTGTTTTCCACCAGTTTCCACCAGCACAGATGATTAAGGGTGACCAGACCAACAATTACTCATTAGTACCTGACCATAGTGGGTGAAAAGACCGATCGAGGTGGCTTATTATGCTGTCGCTAGCTGGAAAACCATATTTTGGTTTGGCTTTTTCCTTCTGTTCATGACCACTGTGCTGTTTTAAGGGCCAATGACCTGTGGTTGTGAACCTAGTGTGAATGTTTGACCTGCCTTTGAGACAATCGGCTGGCTTAACAGCAGCCCTTTGGACATAGGTGCTCATTATACAAAAACATTTGTTATGCTTCATTAAAAGCGCTCCAAAAAGGTACTTGTAATTTGCGGTTGGGCTCGTCAGATCAGAGGTCTTTCGATGCTGGCAGCCTTCGTTTCGCTCTGTTTTTGTGTTGTTCTCTCACCTCTTCTGCCTTCTGCTTTTATTTGCAGAGCTGTGGCCACGAAGAACAATCAGACTCTATAGGCCATAAGGTGAACTAGGAAAAAGTGTCTAGAAAGTGATTTTCGTTCCCACGCCTGGGCACTACTTTTTAAATGCATTTTTGCATAGACAACACCATATTGGACTTTGTTAAAAGTTCTCTGCAAAATATCCTGCAGTTTTTTGTCATGATCCATAAATGTGTATAATTGTGAATTTACGAAAATGAAAATCTTATGCTGCTGGTTTTGCTTATAACTTTATTAGCTCGATTCTGTGTTATCCCTGTCCAACCACCCTTTGTCTTGGAATCTTGAAAAATCTTGAAAAAAACGTTTGTGCAGCAGACATGGTGTTCAATTTGTATGTGTCTACCTGTAATGGAATACTTTCATGATGAAACAAGTTCTGTGGTCCTTGTCTTTTAGACTGATGGTACTGTTCGATAGGGATGCAAGGGGGTGCTTTGAATGAGGAAACTCCCTTCTGTAGTGGTTGTCTGTTTGTTGTTGACACAGGTTCAACTACAGAACTTTGCAGCATAATCCCATTTGTGTGGTGAGTAGTTCCACGACCTGATAATGTCTCCTCCCCAAAGTCAATATTGTCCCACACAAGTATTGTAGGAACCTTCTTTGAGAATCCCTTTGGTATTTTGTCTCTGCCCTCTAATAGTTGAAGTTGGGCAAGGCTACTGTCTAGACTGACAACTGTGTCCCATGATGCACAATGTCCTAGTCTATTTAGAAGTGACAATTTGTGATGAACCTGTTAAATGGCGAACAGTTAGACCAAGACACAATGATTTAGGTGTCTGCCTTCGGCCCTTAGATGCGAGATACACAATGTCTTGACAAATAGATATCACTTTTAGGTTCAAATCATCTGGAATATCAACATAATGGGCCAGTGTTGGTTCCTCAGTTGTACCAATAATCCAGGAAATCAGATTATACAGTTCGAGTGGCACAACAGATTTTGCTTCACTCACATTTAAATGATCAGACGTGGGTGGCCATGGACATGTCATACCGGGAGAGTCACATAGAAGCATCTTTAATATCAATGCTGCACTATAAAGTGTCCTTGTGTCCTCTGTAGTATTGATAGAGGCCACTGAGGTTTGTCTTTGCGGAACAGATGTTGTATTTGTTATGTTTTCACCATCACTTTGGCTAGTTACCTCAGTTGACTCTGTTGTTTCTGTACCTGATGGATGAGGTAGCCTGTCTATCAGCTTGTCTGCAGACAGTGTCTCAACAAAAACCAGCTCACTGATGTTGCGCTTGTTGGGCGAGTGAAACACCAGCTGGGGGAAATCACGGATCAACCTCCTCTTCAATTTATCCTGCCTTAAACAAGATAAAACGAAAGATGATCACAACGGTATAAATAAAGATATATTTACACTGAAAACAACTGAGTTAAAATACACTGTGTATCAGCTTTTAAGGGGTCATATGATGTTGCTAAAAAGAACATTATTTTGTGTATTTGGTGTAATGAAATGTGTTTATGGGGTTTAAAGTTCAAAAAACACATTATTTTCCACATACTGTACATTATTGTTTCTCCTCTATGCCCCGCCTTTCTGAAACGCGTCGATTTTTACAAAGCTCATCGGTCTGAAAATCATTATTATAAATTCCATTTTTGTAAGAAAAAATTAAAATGTTGCATAAACATTCTTTCCAAAGCTGCGTATTTAAAAGAAACTTGTGGTATTTAAATTACCTGTAGTTTGAAGCATCAAGATCTTCTTGTTTTTTCACAAGATTTAAAAAGATTCTTCTTAGCTGCATCATTGTCAGCACCTCTTGGTTTACAATTATTCTATGGCGGATGATCCTCTCACAGAAGATCTTGTAGCTGGCATCGAAGGTTGGCTCATTTCTGAAAAGAAAACACAGAAAAAAACAGAAAAGATATATTACTTTATGTGCTATAACTATTTCACAATGGCTTCTATTTAAAATATAAAATATAATAATTGGTAATAAAACATTACTAGTTTATTCTACCTTCCACTACACATTTGATCATATTGAATTGCTGTGCCAAGATTTGTGCAGTCAAAACTCTGTTTACAGACAAATATACAGACTATGTAGATGGTCAATGCTTTACTTTTGAAATGTACCACAATTTTTAATTATCATTTGATAATGCAATATAATAACTCACTGTTCTTCTGAGGTCCCAGTAACTGTTGCAGTAGACTTTGTCAAGAACCTGGTGTACTGTCTGTAACAGGACTTGTGGTATCGCACCTCCAGAGACACACAGTCTTTGTCTTGAATATGCACAAGAATGCTAGTGTCTTCTTTCATCTCAGCAGCTTTCAGCAACTGGCCTGTAAATAAATATATAAACATAATGAAACAAATTTGTAAATAAAAGCCATTATGTAAAAACTGTGTTAACAGTTAAGCAATATTGAGTGTTCTGGCTGTAGCTGTATGCAAAATGCAAATCTGTAAACATTTAAATTACGTAATTGTAATTTAAATTTAGCCATGGTGTCCAGCATATCTGTACAAACGTGTGTTTGTTTACCCACCTGCTGACAATGTTTCTGCCTGTGAAAGATGGTCCTTCTGGCGTTTGTCTGCCACAGTAATGTACTTGTCTGCTTTCTTACCAATGATGCACAAGGCAGGAAGCACAGGACCTGCACAAACTACTGGCAGGCCCGTCCTGGACCTAAGTTTTTTTGTTGGACATTCAGTTATTGAGGTACTACTACTCGATGATACAGACTGGTCTTTGTGAGCATCTTGAACTTCAGTACGCTGTGCGACACGTTTTTCTGCCGCATCCAAGCGCTTTTTGTCAATGAAACGCCTGTAGCAAGTGGAATGAAACCCAGCGTCTTCGGGAACATTTTCAAACTCGATTTCTATACAATGTTTGTATGTTTCTGCTATTGTCTGATTCTCACCCTGCAAACCAAGCCACCGTTTGACGCTATTTCTGAATGTATCCCATCGTGTGCGTGTAAAATCCTTTGTTTCTTCTTTCTTTATGGACGTGAGATGCATATAGCATTGTTTATAATCCTTTTTACGGAGTTTTGAAGGAGGTCTGGCCGTAATTTCCTCTTCTTCGCTACTCGATATTGACAACAAGGGCGCAGACATCTTGGACTCATGTTTACATGTCGTTCCAAAAAGCGGCCGCCTTATTGGTCGTGCTTCCCACACGTGACGCGAAGCCTAATCACTCATGATCAAAATATGATTACGCGAGTAAGGGACTATTGCCGACTTTAAACACTTATAAAAAATAAACTGCAGGATTATACATGGAGAACTTTTATTTTCTCGCTCAAAACCAATAGATCTTTTTATTGGAATGAAAAGAATTTAGTGCCCCATATATGGGAACGGGATTAAACGAAAAACGGCTTCACCTTACGGCCTACTATAAATCTGAATCTGAGTGTAATTTACTGCATTAGATACACTGCGTTTTCTGCACCACAACAGTATTGCGTTCTTGGAGGGTGAATGCATTGATTGTCTTGTTTTAGTTGGAAAACGGCATCACGGTCTGTTTTTGACCCTGTGAAAAGACCTTTTGTTTTCTGTTCTTCTCCTTTTTGTTATTCTTGAAGTTTTGTTGACAATTAGGCTGACATCAGCCTGTGGCGTTCAGGTTCGTTTCATAGTTGTTTGGCCGTCGTTCAGGACAGGGTATGATCCAGTGCTCTCAACCTGAAGATTGTTCACGATGTAGTCGTGCCGTCGACCAGACGGCCAAAACAAAAACAGAAACCAAACTTTTTTTAAAGTGCAGGAAAATGATACCAAAGATAGGCTATCATATAATACGCTCCAACCAAGTCCAAGGGCAGTTCGAGAGAGAATATTGTCAAAAGATGACCTATGATGTAGGTGCAAACAGGAAAGCTAATGCCGCCGAAACACTATCCCGGCCAGCGCAGAGTGGATTCAGAGTTTCACTTGATTTACCTCTAATTCCCCTCCTCCCTCCAGATGCATCATGAAACTGGAACTGCACCACCGTTCCTTCTTTTGCTTCGTTCCTACCTTTTTGGAACTTTTTCTCCTACCCTAGTTGACACTTACTTTCTGACGTTCCTTATTTAAACTGCTCCAACAGAAAAGTACGCTGAGAGGGAGAGAGGTGAAATGGGAGCAAGACATGACGCAGGCCGGACTCAAACTTGGGTCAACTGCACAATCAACACCTTAATCCATTATTGAAGTAATTTTTTAGTTGCAGCCTTATCCCAAATCCTCAGCTCCGCAAGGGGAATTTGACGCACTCAAATTAAACTACTACTTCCTGTTTGCCCTCTTCCTCGCGAAGTCATTTAGCAACCGATTAAGCCGTATCATGGCTTTGGTCGTAGCTGTCGGGCTCGGTTAGATAATGCCTTTTTTTTTTTTTCTGTTCAAAGCCCAGATATGGCATCGTGACTCATGTGAGCGGTCTGGCCATCGGAGCCTCCCTGGGAGAGCGAGTAATCAGGAACACAGCATGAAGTGTTGTGGTTTGCCATGAAGTCAGACAACTACAAAGGGAGGAGAGACCGAAGGCTGCGCCAACTGGGATCACACGCCGCCAAAGCCTGCTGCCGTTTTTAGCTTCGACATCACAAGTGCCACAGGCCCCCTTGTCCCTTTAATTGTTTCGGCTAATTAAACCATCAGGCAGCCCTCCTCCTTTTCCTCTAAATGACATGTGTTTCTCTGCGCTGATCCGTAAGGGAGCTAAGAGCCTGGCCAAGGCAGTTCAGTGCCACTTCCTCCTTGAAATTTAATTTGGTCCTCGTATGGGGGATGAAGAGGGGGGTCAAAGATGTTCGTACAGATACCACAGGCGTGGAGGCCGTCCTCCAAATTGACTCGAAATGTTAAGTGCACTTTAACAGGAGCTCTCAGCCCTATGACAAGGCATCTGTTGTATGTTTTTTTTTTTTTTTTTGTCCATATAAGAAAGCTTTTGCATGTCTGTAGAGAGGGAACTTTGTCTTGGGTTGTAATAGTAGTGCTATGTAGCTTTCATTCTTGGAGAAGCTCACAGCTAGTTGACCTGTGGCTGAAAAACAAGTCCCTGGTGGATAGTGTTTCACTGCTCTGCAGTCCTGTAGCTGTTGATCCGTGTCTAGAAAGGGGCTTTTCCTTTTCCCTTCCCTCCACAGTGGGACCAATGAACAGAGGAGCTTTCAACACGCTCTGACTCTTGTTCTTCTGTTTATTGAGAATCTGCAAGTTCACTATATGAGAACTTGCTGGAAATTGCTGTGAAAACAGTGTCTGACCTCGACAAATTGCATCATGTGACCATGTTTTCATGTAGAGATTGTAGCTGTCCTTCAGGCATGTGACCATTGTTGTTGTTGTATGTTTTTCTGTTTACAGGTACCTCAATGCTATTCAGACCATGTGCCCACATATACTGCGCTACTTGACCACAGCCGTCATCACTAACAAGGACGTCCGCAAGCGTAGGCAGGTGCTAAAGGATCTGGTGAAAGTCATTCAGCAGGTATCAAGTATACACACACACATACATACACATACACATACACACGTATGTGAGTTAAAATATTTATACTAGTTAATTAAAAACAATTCATATGTTTGAGTTAATGATTAATTTACATTTTTTAAAATATATTATTACATTTGATTTTTTATATATATATATATATATATTAGTCTTTTTTTTAATTGTTTTCAGTTAATTAAACAATATAATTAACAGAAATATAATTATGTAAATGTTAAAAGTTAAAGTTAGTATAATAACTTTAATATTGCAAAAACTTTGAGTATATTTTAAGTGTTTGTATACAAATCGGCAAATTTCAACCTTCCATATTATTGACTCTCAGGTATATTTTACAGGATTAGTTTTTTTTTTTTCCCCTTGAGAAAATTTGCCATGTCCTGTACCTGATATATCCAAAATGATCGATATTGAATCGAATCGGAATCGAATCAAATCGCAAGCTTGTGAAGGATAATCAAATCGAATTGTGAAATTTGTGTCAAAACCCAGCCCTAATTATTTATATTACATGAAATATTATTTCTATTTATTATTTTTTTTAATTAGTATTTTACATTTTATTAGTATTTTTTAATTTTACAAACACAGTAAATGGAAAGTTCTTATACATGAATGCCAAGCTGAAAAACAGTTTAAAAAGTTGTTTATTTTTCTATTCATTCTACACTGTGTATAATTTCTTAAAATTTTAAAGGGATAGTCCATCCAAAAATGAAAATTCTGTCATTAATTACTCACCCTCATGTCGTTCCAAACCCGTAAGACCTTCGTTCATCTTCGGAACACAAATTAAGATATTCTTGATGGAATCTGAGAGCTCTCTGACCCTCCATAGACAGGAAGGATATTACTACGATCAATGCACAGAAACGTAGCAAGGACATCGGTAAAATAGTCTGTGACATCAGGGGTTCAACTGTAATTTTACGAAGCTTGATTACATTCTGGGGTACTCTCCAAAATGGCGGAAGACGGTAACTTGGGGAGAAGAATTGCTGAATAAACTGTTATTGTTTTCTTTGCGCACAAAAAAGTGTTCTCATAGCTTTGTAAAATTACGGTTGAACCCCTGATGTCACATAGACTATTTTACCGATGTTCTTGCTACATTTCGGTGCGTTGATCGTGGTAATATCATTGTTGTCTATGGAGGGTCAGAGAGCTCTCAGATTCCATCAAAAATATCTTTATATGTGTTCCGAAGATGAACGGAGGTCTTGCGGGTTCGGAACGACATGAGGGTGAGTAATTAATGAGAGCATTTTCATTTTTGGGTGAACTATCCCTTTAAGCCAGGGTTCCTCAAATCTTGCCCTGGAGGAGCTAAACTCTGCAGCAGATTGGCAACCCTGATCAAACTCACCTACCTGTGATTTTCTAACGATCCTAAAGACATTGATTAGCCATGCTCAGGTGTGTTTGATTAGGGTTAGAGCTAAACTCTGCAGGAAAGTGGATCTCGTGGGCCAGATTTGAGGATCCCTGCTTTAAGCCTTTATCCTTTTATTTCAGTAGGAGCAATACTATTGGTCAGGTGGTGTTCTATTTCATAACCGTTTAGTTTTCTGTTGGTCTTCCCGCAGTCATCCACACTGGTCTTGCATCTACTGAAAGATGTTTTCAATGGGAGGTTACCCACACCAGACCAAACAACAGTTTTTCTCTTTTGTTAAAAAAAATAGTATATTTTTATTTGTATTTAATGCATCTAGCACATTGCCGGTAATCTTACCTCACTGCGTCTGTGGAAATGAATGAATGAAGAAGCGGTGTATATTGGCCTGAAAATAAAAGCTCTGTTTATCTATGTGCCTCCTCAGGCCGTGTGAGTCTTGAACCCATTAGATTTGATGAATGGTGCTGGACAGTCTGATTGTAGTGTTCCGATGTCTCCGTGTCCAACAACAGTAGCTTCTTCAGAGATCAATGACACTGAAATCCAAATAAGCGTGTCCCCACAGCCTTTGCGTAATCACTTAAACATGTGTCCTGAGGTGCTCACCATAATCCCTGCACAAGTTTCCTCTCTCATGGTTACTTAAGCATCTGTGGTATTTAGATCCAGGGAAGACCCAGAGACTATC